CATTTCAGTGATTACCTGCTGCCTTTTGTCTCATGTATTTGTGCTGATGAATGAATAATGTGTTTGTGTCTGCAGGATGCAGCGGTCAGGTGACTGTGACTCAACCTCCAGTCAAGACATTTACTCCAGGATCCACTGTCACTCTGACCTGTAAGACCAGCCCGAATGTGGCTTTGTGTAGTGGTGGTCCATGTATGTCCTGGTATCAACAGACATCTGGACAGACTCCAAAGCTCCTCATAAGACAAGTGAGCACACGGCATTCAGGAACTCCAGCTCGATTTAGTGGCAGTGGAAGAACCTCCGACTTCACTTTGACCATTAGTGGAGTTCAGGCTGAAGATGCAGCAGTTTATTACTGTCAGAGTATTCATGTAATAAACAGTGCTGATGTGTTGACACAGTGATTTATGGTCGTACAAAAACCTCCTCAGTCAGACTGCAGAGACTCTGAGCTGTTACAGCAGGAAGCGACTGCAGCTGCTGAAGAGGAAGAAACTCTGACACAGACCACTGAACACAGAGCTGACAGGAACCTCACCAAGTTTAAGTTACATATTCACAATAACACAAACAATATACTGAATCTTTCAGGCTTATTTTGACCAGTTTAGAAACAACGTCCTTAAATAACTTTTAAAGACATCATAATTAATGTTTCATATGAGGAGAAGACCTCTTTCATCTTTAGCTTATCTTGATGTAAAACTAAGGAAACTAAACCAATATTTGCATGTTATTTTCATGCCAAGACATGAATATCTGTAGACTCATACTTTTTCATGAACACAGCAGAAAACAACATCTCCACAGTTTTTATTTCCATCTCCATGTGGAAGCTGGTCTGCTGCTGCTGCTGTTGCAGGTTCATGACCTTGCTGATCGTCTTCACCTCTCGTGCCACCATGAAGTTGTCTTTCGTGAAGCTTCATGACCTTTGGTGACCTCTTTGTTTTTTATCCCCCTCAGAGCCATAATCAGATGAAACATTTGATCTGTTCAGTAGTTTCATTTATAACCAAATACCTGCTGATGTTCTCTGCTATAGGAACTGTTCTTTGTGTTTAGCTCTCATTGGTAAATATTTGCATCTCTAATGAACATGATAAATGAACATGGTAGATAATATCATGGCTGGTAAACACCAGCATGCAAGCATTGCCATTGAAAGCCTGTTAACGTGGCTGCAGAGGATAACTGTCTGAGTGCAAGCAGGCAGTGTAAAGCGGGTTTTATAAAGCGTCTTTGTAGAAAAGAGAGACATGATGTCATGAAAACAACACTATGACAGCAGTGACAGTAAACCATAACATTAAAACTTATGAAAGCTTAACACACTCTCTTGCTCTGTAGAGCAGCTGCAAAGTCTAGAAATAATTCTCTGTAGATTAAATACAAGTGAGGCACTTTACACTGTTACTAAAAAAACCAAGCAAACAAACAAACAAAAAAAAACTCCCTTTATAGTTACTTTAAGGTTGTGAGAAAGTGTCTGTGAGGAGAGGTTGGGCCATTTCTGTTTTGACAAGCTTTTAAAAAAGTTAAAATAAAATTTTTAAATAAGAAACAATGAGGCATTGTTTGTTAATGCCCATCTTAGTTTGGATGGAAATTTGGGCTGCATGACTTACAAATCAAGATTCACAGCAGAGCTCAATGCTTCTAAGTATATGCTTCCCTTCTGCGCCATTTGCTGATCTCGCTGCTCGCATTGTTCAAGACAGGGATTAAATGTTATTGGATTGGCTTCAGGTGACGTGGGCAGACATTGTTGCACTGGAAAGAGTCGAGCCTGGATGTCTTCCCAGGTCAGCAGGGACTCTCTGATGTAAGCAGACGTCAGTCCACAACAGAATTAACAAGGCATGCAAACAACACACGAGAATAGAAGGACAACGGGGACGGCTGATGACAATGGCATGCCAGGATTTCTGTTAACAGCTTCATTAGTCGCTGTTTTCAAAAGAAAATCACATTTTCTCCTTTGATTAACTACAATCTTGCACACGGTCAACTCTTATTACACCTTTTAAACATTTCATTCTACTTAAATGACAGCAAAACCACACAGTTTGCATCATGTTTTTGTAGTAGTGACCAAACACGTCCTCCTCAAAAGGCCTGCAGAGATCACACCATCACTTGCTGCTTCATTTGAGACAGCTTTTCTGAGCCAACAGGATTTTATCTACAGGCTAAAATGACAAGTGCTGACGTTCAGGCCCCTCGGTGCTCGTCCTGACCGCTGAACAGCTGACACAGCCTGACACAGCCTGACATCGTGGTCAAGTTAAAGGGCAGCGAAGTGTCAGCGTATACTGTAAAGTCCTGAACACAGAGGACTGGTGTCTTACCTTTGGCCTCTGGCCTCTGGTAATCCTGCCTGCACAGTTCAGCACACACAAACAAAATAAATCTTCATTTTCTGCCCCTAGAAATCAACAACTATATTAGTGATCTTTTAAACAACAGTCTGAGTGGAAATCAGTTTTTGTTTTGTTTAGATTACGCATATTTCTCCGTATTTTCAATAAATGTTGTCTTGTAAGATGAGTTAAAGTCGGTGTTGCTACGATGTACACATGAGAGCTAATGTCACGAGGTGTATGCAGCTGTTTTATGAACTGTGGCAACGACTCATGATGATCTATGAATGGGGGAATTAATCGGCATGGAAGTCTAGCTTTAGCCTCCTTAATAAGTCTGAGTGGCTGTGAAGGAGACTCTGTTTGCATGGGATAGGGATAATCCTTTTAGGGATTGCTTAAGCGGGAACCACTCAGTCATCACTTCCTCCCTCAGACTGGGTGAGCTCCTCAGTGTTAGACAGGATCCACACTTGATCAGACTCGCCGGCTGTTGGTCCGCCTCGGTATCTTGTGGGATACACACTGATCTGTCACACTCGCTAAGAGACCCGGATACCTGTTGCTCACTGAGGGGGGTGGGGGGGCCTGCTGGGCTACAGACTGAGCCTGAATCATGATGGAATGGTTGAAGAAATTCTTCAAAAGTGTGGTGTCGGTGAAACTCAGGGAGTACGTGAAGGACTACTGCAGAAGGAATGGTCTGCTGACGCTCTCGGTCTTCGCTGTGGTGACCGGCTGTGTGCTCGGATTCGTGCTCCGGTCACTCAACCTCTCCACACAGGTAGGGACGGTCAAAAGTCAGAAATTCAACCAGAGGCAAACCGACTGGGTGTGGATGTTCCAGACTTAAGCTGAAAAAAAGAGAGTTGTTGGACCAACTTAAATAAGTGATTGGTAAAACATAACTAAACTGAGTTCATCCAAATGAAGCTAACTGACATATATTAGTTGTACTTAAATTATTTGATTCCTCGAAAATGAACAGTTTGCAACTTCATTTTTCGTTTCCAATTTTTGCGCTTAAGTATTTGCTTTACCTAAAATCTAAAACATGATTTTGGCATTAGACGTACTGTTGGTTCCTTTTTCTTTAATCTGCAATCCAACTCGAAGGAAAGCGAAAAAACGTGGATGTCAGATGCAAAAAGTACATTTTCGCTGAAAGTTGAAAACCACTTCTTTAAGAGACAGAGGATAATTTCAGCTTCATAGAAGGAAGAAAAGCATATTGCCATCCCAAAGGAGAAAGTTAAATAGGACACATTAAAAAAAAAGCACTTTATTTCAGCTCAGATGCCATTTTTTACAGTGCAACAGAATATAGTGGGAAATATGCAAACACACACTAACACAACAAATCAGGACGAGACCTAACAGTCAGCCTGTTCTCTTAGTTTGTTATGCACTGAGGCTGTAGTGAAAGTCAACTACGTAGAAGTGAGAATGGACACAGGTAAAAGCAGAAAGTCGGGTCAGAAGAAGAGCAGAAGTGCTTTCTTTAATTTGACATTATCAAATCAAATCACTTCAAGTTTACTCATTTGCATGTTGAGTTGGCCAAAGAGCCGTACATGTTACAACGACAACAACATGAGCAAAAAGGGAAGACAGAAAACAAAACAAAATTTCAATTAAGCTTCAATTAAATACTAAAAAAAAAAACAAGACAAGCAATATAACAACTTGCCAGACCAGTTACTGAAATAAAATAACTATAAGACACGAACATATGGAAACTACTTAAAGCAATTAAAAAGTCATTGATGTGTTGAGATTGTTGTTTGAAAGTGTGAATGGAGGACTGAAAGAGGACGGCCACTCTAAGCCTGGATCACATGTTGTTGTGCATGTAATGAACCCACAGAAAATCTTTTCTCCCAATTCAGCAGTTTCCTTTTAGATTTATAGAGTTTAATAACAACATTTTTTTATACCACAGCAACATACAGGTTGCTTCACTCTCACTACTCAGTACAAAGTGTTTGCTGTTTCAACTCAAAGCACGTTTATAGTTCAATGCTGTGTTCAGTTAACTTTCACCAGTTTCTAAAAAGGTATTGCAGGTTTAATTTATTATTATCTGTGTTTTTTCCCCCCTTTCATGATTGATTTCCTTAATCAAAGATTTCCCTCTGCATTCGAGAACGTATTTAGAACCCCGCAAATGTCTGTTTAAGGGCAACGTACATCTAACTTTAAGTCACCGTGATGTAAGATGCTCTAAGTGGACCAAGGAGCTTAAGCATTTTGGCAGAGACTGAATTAATGATTAGTTTCCAGCGCGCACCACAATGCACTCCTGCATGATGGCAGCCGTCCCCTAAATGCACAAACATCTCATCGGCTAAAAGAACCCATGAAACACAATGAAACGTTCTTGAACTTAATATCATTGGAAAATAACTACATTTGATTTATACGTACTTAAAGGTTTCAGACATAATGGTTCTGGTATAAAAAAAAATTATGTTTGATTTTGATCTAAGAGAATCTTTTTTTTTTTTCTTTTTGACCCATAAAGATATGCTGAAATATCCAAAGTGATATCAGTTTACAACACACATGCAGGGGAACTGTCCATTTAGCAACAGGGTTAAATTAAGATCCTATAGATGCTGTGAATCCTTAGGAGGCAGAAATCATAAACTGTTTAAAAAACATACCAAGTGTCAGGTTTATTTAGCTACAAGTGTTTCTCTTCCTCACAGGCCAAGATCTACTTTTCGTTCCCTGGAGAGCTGCTGATGAGGATGCTGAAGATGTTGATTCTGCCGCTCATCACCTCCAGGTAACAATCAGCTGAGTGCGTTGGACCAAACCCAGCTGATAATGACAAATATATAATTTTCTGGGAATTTTTCTTCAGAAAAGATGCTGAACTCAATCCTAGTCCTGCGGTCTTTGTTGCGTATCATTCCCTTCTGGTTCTCAACATTTTGCAGATTTTTACACGAGATATAATGAAAACTGCAGCATCCACATCTAAAAAGTGAAAATGACCACTGAAATAACCCTCCTCATATAATAGGGTTGTGACTGCCATTGTTGCACCTTCAACATTTCGTGTGGCTTTCAGAGCAGCTGATTAATACTCTCCAATATCCCTTAATACGTAGCTTTAAACATCCAGTCAAAGCTAATTCCAGTTCTAATCTTCATAAAGCTAACAAGCAAATCCATGTTTTTAAACCTAATAGTTGACTAAATAACAAACTTTACACACATGTCCTTCTTTCCCGTTCAGTCTTATGTCCGGCCTGTCAGCCATGGACACGAAGGCAAGCGGTCGGCTGGGAGTCCTGACCATCACCTACTACCTGTGGACCACCTTCATCGCCGTCATCGTTGGCATCGTGCTGGTGCTCATCATTCACCCGGGGACGGGCTCAGAGAAAGATGGCCACCATGCCAGTTCGGGCCCTGTTATGACCTCTGCTGACGCTCTGCTGGACCTCATCAGGTTAACATTCACACAGACACTGAGGATCGCCATCGTTCAAATATTGTTACCCACTGAAGCGCACTTAAGAAAGGTTACCGAGCAAGGACGCTGTTCTGTAACCGTCCTCTGACATTATTCACTATAATTCCTTCTTCATTAATGAAAAAGACTAATAATCTACAGCTACACTAATTGGCACTTCGCTAACTAGCACTAAATTCAAATGTCAATAGCTTTGCAACTATTGGGTCACAAAGACAGATTTTTATCAGATGAGGGCATTGAATGGATTCATCGATAAGGAGACATGAACCAACTGTCATAGCAATCTGTGCAATAGTAGCCACAAATATCAACCTCACAGTGGCTCAAGGGATCATCAAAGTCAAAAGGATTAATGTTTGTCTGGGAACTACCAACGTAAACACAAAGTGCCAATTTTCCATTTGTTGGATATTAGATGTGTCACTGAATGTGTAAAAATATTATGGTGCTAAATGAAAGCTACCATCAAAGTGTGCCAAATGTAATGGTGGTTCATGAAATAGTTTCTGATATATTTCAGCACAAACCAAAGTGACGACCAGACCACCACCGCCGCCATCCAAAAAAACACTGCAACTAACACGGAGAGAATAAAAAATAAAAAAGCATCTCTTCTGTCAGTCAGTGTGTTCGTCCTCTTAAGCAATTTAGAAGAGGACAATACAGTATTTTGCTATGTTTCTTTCAAGAGCTTTTTCCAGAGAACTTTGCCTTTACAAACCATATAAAGACACAGACACATTTGGATTGATTTTGGAAAAGATCTTATAGCTGGAAAATGCTTTCAGAAGAACTGAGAGAATCCCATCCTATCATAAGCTTTTGAAGAGATCTTATTAGTGTTTTCTAGGATGAGGATTTGCCATTTAACGCCCTTGAAAAGCTGGTGAAAACCAGTATAGACTAATTAAACCCAGTACAGATCCAGTTCAGACCTTGTGAACTCCGTGTGCTCCGCAAAAACAGGAAGCTCTCTAATCACAAAAGCTCCAGGGATCAGTTTGATCCTGGTGGCTGACATAATGGCCTTCAGAGCAAAATAATAGACAAAGCAGCTTCCGGAAAAATGTGGTTTCCTCCGACATTTAATGCAACGGCGTGAACACCCTAAATGAAACCGAGTCAAAGGGCAGGACTCCCACACAGCAGTTTGGCTAAGAATAGGGAGACACTTAATTGTGATCTGTTAAGCCTGAACTTTCTCAGAAGGTGCTGATTGAAGCTGCGGTCTTGGTGTGTGCGCTCAGGCTTACCGCGGGGCCATTCATGTCAGAGATCCACTAATACCTTCTTCTTAAACCTGATTATACTGGAGAGCTGCGTTGAGGTGTGCATTTCAGTCCTCTTACGTGTTTGACAATCTCGCTGCCTGTGTCACTGACGTATATGCTGTACAAATGCAGTCCCGGTACACGATTGCTGGCTGAACCCTTCCACCTTCCAACAGCGTCAGTCTGTGAAAGCCTCCACGTTTGCCTGCGTCGTCTGAAAATGTGACCCCTGGTGTTGTTGACAGTTTAATACATACAATGTGTAAAATAGCACAAATGGACCCTGATTCATGCAGGAACAGAAGTCTTATTATTGAAAATGCTTCTTCATTACAATAGCCAAAGGTGCAGGAAATATCTATCAATCATTTGCTTGAAAATCAGTATTTTAAGCATTTATTTAAAATGTTTATATATTTGGAAGTTACATTTTACACATTGAAGTAGCTCAAGGTGGAGCTGCTTTTAACCTTTTTATGTGCTATTGGGTGGTTTTGATATATATCAGTGTGTTTTAATTTTAAAGCTAATTTACACGTCTCACCAATACAGCAATTAATGGCATATAAACACTCCTGCTTTTGCATTTAGAAGCACAATTTTAAAAAACAAACAAAAAAGCATCTCTGTTTTGACGGGTATTTGACATCTTATTGCAACATGAGAATTCTTTTTTTTTTTAAAGTCTACAAACAAACGTATCACAAGGTTGATGCTATTATGGAGCTTTTCGTCACATTGATAACGATCAGCACTTTTCTTTATTTAATTCGTGTGAAAGTACAAATTTGAATTTCTTTCTCAGTGCTTTGAGAACATCTCGTCTTTGCTCATTGAATAACTGATCGATCACTGAGCCACTGCTGTTTCACATTAAACACACAGCTGCCACATTTTGAACTATTTTACCCCTCAGTCGTATAATCTGACCTGTTTTGTCTGTTTGCTGTTTATTGCAGGAACATGATCCCATCAAATCTAATTGAAGCCACTTTTCAGCAGGTGAGTTGGACAAAATCTGACAAAAACTGTCCATTAAGTAAACTCACAGCATCCACATATTTACAGATCCCTGTGGTTTGTTTCATTCCAGTACCGGACAGACCTGGTACCTATAGTGCAGAGCGCCAACGTAAAAGAGTCTCAGGCCAACTATGTGTACGTCATGCCCGACTACCACAACCCTCGCCTGGGCCACCCGGTCTTCCTGGAGATCACCCCTGCACCTGACATCAAGTATAAAATCGTCCCGAGTACGAGCAAAGGCATGAACGTGCTGGGGATCGTCATCTTCTCGGCCACCATGGGTAAGACTGCAGAACTCTTTCCATTCTAGTAGGTCAGCCTCTGTGAAGGGTTCAAAAGATGTAACCTTTGGGTTTAAATAAATAAATCAAATGCAGACGATGAAGGCCTTCATTACTTCATTATGACAACTTTTAGATTTGGACTGCAGGTTACCAAATGTCCCCCTGGTTGCTGTATTTTTCTGCTCTGAAGTGACACTTTTTGTGATGTCATCATTTTGATTGGAAAGTGTTGAATTCAGCTACTCATGACCCTTTGTTAATGGTTAGTGCTGGAAAAAGTATTTATTCTTTATCTGAGTGAAATGATAAATATATTATCAACAAAAAAAAACAGTAGCACAGGCTTTAAAAGTGAATGCAGTCATTCTGCAGAAACATTGCCCTTGCAGCTGATATCGTCCTTCTAATACTTCAACGGAGAAGTTGATTTTGTTGTTGTACCAGGTTACAGTTGGGTTAAGTGGTTTCTTGTTATATGCAGATTGTACATGCATTTTTGCCTTTGAATATAAATTGAGGGCTGTCACAGCACATTGCAATCATCCCTCTACAGTCCAGACTAACAGTGAGTCTGTTGTGTGTTCACAGCAAAGGTTTGTTAACTCAGCTATTTTAAAGTGCTATTACTGTTGAGGTCGTGGATATGGGACAGTGGTTGTTTTTCCTACATTCTCTGCGCAAAGTCTCCTTGACATCAATTAGCATGCTTGTTTGCTTTCTATTCGTGCATCACTCATCCCATCAGGCGTGTTGTTGTGTTCCGGAGTGTCATCGCCCTGAATAATCACACAGGGCTTAGTGCAACAAAGACAATGGTTTCATTGTACACCACTTGCATGTTTGATTTGACTTATGATATAAACTATGCAGCCAAATTCCTTAACTTAAAATAAGGAGCATTTGGTCTCATTTACATGTGTACAGAATATAGTGTGGATTTTGTGTTCATGAAGGCCTGAAATAGAGAAAAAAAACTCTATTAAAACAAAACAAAACAAAACAAACAAAAAAACATTCAGTAGCTCAGAAAAGCTTGAAACAGACCCGTGTTAAAATCAGAGTAAAGTGGAATAAACATGTTCTGCTACACAAATTCTGCAATATTTTTACAGACTATTCTGTAATGTCTGTGTAATAAAACAGGACCAGAGGGGTGACACTGTTCTCCAGACAATGTTTTTTCCAAAGAGGCCCATAAACAAAGTGAGCCAGTTTTGCTATGTGTTCTGGAAAAGCTTAGTCTGGAAAATCAGTCGTGACTACAGCTCTAAGATAAATGTACTGAAATAAAAAGTACACATTTCCAATGAAAGGTAACAGAGACTGAGTACAAGAACAGCTAAATGTGGAATTTTTAATGATTCACTCTTATTGCTGATAACCAATCCAAGGGGCCTGGCGATGCAATAGTTGCTCCTATTCATAGTGCAGATCTATAAATGATTTACTAACTATTTATTCATTAGTTATAACCCCTTCACAGTAGCACTTTCACTAGTAACCATGAACATGTGAACATGTGTCCTGTCTGTTCTCAGGCCTGCTGCTGGGGAAGATGGGAGAACGTGGAGCACCGTTGGTCAACGTGTGTCAGTGCATCAACGAGTGCGTCATGAAGATCATTAATGCTGCGATGTGGTGAGAACACACTCTCATTCACATGCACAAACACACACACACACACACTCTCTAAAGCACACTGCTGTGTCACGCACATACCTCCAAAAAAAGACAGACTACACACAGTCCAGAGAGCAGATTAAATCTAAAAATAAATCCCAGCAACTCAGAGAGGCGCTGCCGTCTGAAGTGTCCTTCAGGCTTTCCACTGATGAGTCGGCTCTTGGATTAAACATGTGTGAATGGCACAAAGGGGACTCTTCGTTAATGGGATTAAAAATCAAACATACAAATGCGATCGATTGGAACTGTGGACAGCATCGCAGTGTACACCCAAGAGTGTGTGGACATTTCAGAAAAACACTGTGGCTACATTCACCTTACATTCCTGTGTGATTTCTGGACATCTAATTCCAAAGCATTAACCTGCTGCTATAACAGCATCTACTCTTCTGGAGCCTGACAGCAGGGATTTGCTCCCATTAGGCCACAAGAGTATTAGTGAGATCAGCCACCGTTGTTAGACGGTGAGATCTGGCTCAGAGTCGGCGTCTCAATTAATCCCAAAGGATGAGGTTGAGGTCAGGCCAGTGAACTTCCTCCACTCCAAACTCAGAAATCAAAATGGCTTTTTGGGTTTTTTTGGTTGTTTTTTTTTTTTAAAACTTGCACTAAAATGTTGTCGTAAAGTTTCAAGGTTTAACGTTTTATCTCATTGCCAAAACATTTAGGATGGTTTCATTCTAAAGAACACAAGAGAAAAACATAAACGTACAAGTGAATAAGCAAAATAAAAAAATAATCTGATAATAAATAGAAAAGAGAATGGCCAAAAATGAACACAACAAAACTAAATATGTGTAGAATCTGTTGATTTTCATTGTCATGTAGCTCTGTGAAGTTTTGGATTCACAAGTAAAATTTTGTCAAGTATTCATTTCATCAAATATCTCTTGTGTTGTAGAATAAAACTCCATGTTGGACCTCCATGCAGCTCATTTTCTCCTCAGTTTGTTGCTTTCACACCATGAGAAAGTGAAGTTCATGTTAATGCTGCTGCTGATGTGATCTACAGTGACACAGAACCAAGCATGATAATTGTCTCCTCTCCATCGTGCAGGTACTTTCCCTTTGGCATCGTGTTCCTGGTGGCAGGGAAGATCCTGGACATGCACGATCCGGCCCACCTGGGGGAGAAGCTGGGGATGTACTTCATCACTGTGCTGTCGGGGCTGTTTGTGCACGGCCTCATCCTGCTGCCTCTCTTCTTCTTCATCTTCACCCGCAAAAACCCCTTCCCCTACATCAGAGGGCTGCTGCAGGCTCTTGTCATTGCACTGGCCACTTCATCTAGGTATGAGAGGACAGATATTTTAGTTTTGAGATGTGTAGGATGTCCAACCAGTTTCCAATGCATATGCTTTGGCCTGTTGGTGACCTCCTCGGTCCTCTTTCTCTGCAGCTCGGCCACGCTGCCCATCACCATGAAGTGTCTCCTGGAGAACTGTGGAGTGGACCGGCAGATTGCCCGCTTCGTGCTGCCGGTGGGAGCTACCATCAACATGGACGGGACAGCCCTGTATGAGGCGGTGGCGGCCATCTTTATCGCTCAGGTCAACGAGTACGACTTGGACTTTGGGCAGCTGGTCACCATCAGGTGAGAAGAAACACTGATGTCACTATCATCCCCTGATAACTTGTTTTATTTACATCTCTAACATCTCCGCTCTTGTCTCTCCAGCATAACAGCGACAGCAGCCAGCATCGGGGCAGCTGGAATCCCTCAAGCAGGTTTGGTTACCATGGTGATCGTCCTGACCTCTGTGGGGTTACCGCCCGCTGACATCTCCCTGATTGTTGCCATCGACTGGGTTCTGTAAGTCCAGCTGTAAATTATTCCATTCAAGCGTGTCGTATATGTGCTATGAGAGCAAAGTGTGAATCATTTTTTCCATCTTGTGTCTCAGCGATCGCTTCCGGACCATGATCAATGTTCTCGGTGACGCCTTAGCTGCTGGGATCATGGCTCATTTATGTAAGAAGGACTTTGAGAGAGCAGCCACTGCCGCCACTGCTGCTTCGTCTACAACTGTTAACAATGGAGGTGGCCCAACGAGGGTAAGGAGGCCCGGTTCTGTTTGTTCAGTTCAAAGTACAAATGCATGTTTGACAGTTGTTGTATTTTCATGGATTTCCATTCAACCGTCTACATGCGTGGATATCACAGTTTGGGTTATATTAACACAGTAGTTAATTTTTTTATTATATTATTTTTTAATTCATTTATTCATTCATTTATTTTTTATATTTTTAAGTATTTTTTTAAAAACATATTTTTATTCTCTTCATTTTTTTTACATTTTATTTAATTTTTTTAAATTTTTTTTTTATCCTGATCAGATCAAATAGCAAACAGAAATTTAAAAAAAAAAAAGCATAACAAACAAGAGCTCGGGTCTTAAGAGGTTAAATACATTGCTGGACAACAAGACTTCACATCCTGCAAGTATTTAGTCATGAATTAAAGTAATCGACAAATACAAAGTTAAAGTCTGAGCATGGTGCAATATGAAACGTTCAGGGATCACTAAAGTTATTGAACTTATCCAGAGAGTCTGAACAAAACAATCTGCCTGAAAGTTAACGAGACTTTTTAAAATTTAAAGCTCCTGTGAAGCTAAAGAATAGATTAGGGAGTCACCACAGTCGCACTGTAGTGTGATTTATAATGGATATTTATACCAAATAGTTGTTGACATGTTTGCATTCATATTTGTTTGTTTCTTGCATTGCCAAAAAAAAAAACTCCTGTGGTTTAAACAGTGGCATCTGCCTCACACAGTCTGAGCAAACAAATATAACAGCAGTTTAAATCTGACTGTGCACAAACACACAGACAGCTGACAAGAGGAAAACCCAAATACATGACTTGAGAAAGACAACAAAAGCAGATGTCTAACTCGGGTGCACAACGTGGTACATCTGACATCCAATCATGCTCCGTGGCACGTATAATAAATGCTGCTGATTGTGGGAGAGGTTTTATTGTTGGGGTGCAGATGGCAGGAGCTCCGGTCAGAAAGCCTGCTCCATTGCGTCGTGTCTTCATAGGAACAGGGGCTAAAGTGACATCTCAACAAACAAACAACAACAGGAGTCTGTGGTCAAGATTTGATGTTTGTACATTATGTAAGCAAAAGACAGAAAAATAACTTCCTCAGCTGAAAATGTCAGCACAGGACGTGATCAGCAAGAACAGCTCGCTGGCAATTACATGGAGAGGATCATTGTAGTCTGGCTGCTGTTCATAAACTTAGAAAAACAAAGATGAATGCACATATGAGAGCTTAGCCATGCAACAAGTATAAGCACTGGTGTACAGAGGTGTGGAAAAAAGTGACCAGATGGGCACTCATTCACAATATTACCGACAAGCGGCGTACACCAGAACAACAGCACAGGCCTCAGTGTTTTACTCCAACAGTGAGGGAATCCAGTGGCTTTGTTAAGCTGATTGCAGTGTTTTCCTGTCTCCACACATCCACTCAGAGGGAAGGGTCACTGTGAATCAATACAAAGCTGTTCTGAGTGATGACTTTTGACTTACGATTAACAATTTCTATGCTGATGATAGTGGCCTCTTTGACCCACAGGGTACGGGGGGGGGGGGTCACTGAAGGATCTGAGCATGAAAATGATCATATTCTGTAGATGCCAGACCTCAACCCAATTAAACATCAAAGACAGATTTTAGACCAGAAATTTGTATACTTCTTTTTTTTTTCTGGAGAACCAACTTAATTTTCGTAATAAGCTCACTGAGTTTTCGGAGGCTTTTAAATAAGACACGAAGCAGTTTCAGCCAGGTATTCTGAGATTTTGTTCTAGTTCTTACATTTGGATCATTTTAAGCAACTTTCTCGCATTTATTTCAGTACGATTAACTTTTTTGGTTGCAAATTGGTGTTCCGTCTTACATATAATAAAATAATGATAATCTATTGTATGAAAATAATCTATAGCGAAAAAGCATTGGGAAGAATTTTCTGGTGGTCACAGTAACCCGTGTTGAAGAGGATTTACATTCACGCTTTAAAAAGTTGAATAAGAACTAATCAAAAGTGCTACTGCTGTTCATAACCAGCCAGTTTTCTGACGTTATTTATCGCTATTTTCGCTCCAAACCTTCTCCACTTTCAACAGTGTTTTAACGCGATTCTACAAAACCGAACTGCTCCTCGACTAACTCTCCTGTTCTTCTCGTCTCCCCTACAGAGGGACACAGTAATCTCCTTTGGCAATCAGAGCGTGGCGCTCTCGGATGCTCCTCTGATCGCTCACCGCTGCGACTACGTGTTCGAGGTGGACGGAGACAACGTGTTGGAGAAACCTATGGCCTGCTACAACCTCTGCCAAGTCTGAGACTCTTTTCACAAGCTGGACATTAAGGGATCCTGCCTTCGACAGCACATCGATTCACCTCCAAAGGCACAACCTGAGGCTCTACAAGTTCAGTTGAACTCATGTTCTGGTTTCTGGTCTGAAGAAAGAGTATATACTGTGATGTCAGGGTGGAGCAGCTCACATGTATTTTGCCTGTGCCATGCAGAAAACAGAAACCTACTTGATACTGTACGTCTCCGCTCAGTTTGGGCTGGATGACAATGGAAGTAATGAAATGCATGGAGCTTCACATGTAACCTAAATCTTAAACACGCGTTAGTGTCTAATTGCACGTGCACACTCGATAATGTGTTGCAACGACACGCAATAGATGGAGATTAGTGTTTAACGCTAGGCCTGTCCTAAAGAAGTTTGCTGGCAGGTTTGACCTCAGTCAAGGTTTTAAGTTGCCTTAACATGATCTCAGTTTTGACAATAATGCTGAGAACTTGAAAGACTTGAAAGTTACCAGACACTGATAGACAAGGAGCAGAAGAACAGGAGATTTATGTTATGGATAGATATTAAGGTAAAATTAACAAAAAAATAAACAAGTACAGACACATTCCAAGCACACAGAAATCACATTAAGACTTGTGTTTTTATACCTACGCTTTTAATTTTGTGTTCATGTTTTGTAATAAAAACCTGCGTCACTACAGTCTTTTGAGTGAGTGGTTTTATTTCAGGCAAAATATTTTCATGCTGTGGTTCATTTAAAGATTTTGGGCTAATGGGATTCCAAAAAAAAAAAAAAAAATTCAGAATAGATGAAAGACAGTATTTTTTTCTTACACTCTGACCCAGAAATGTCCACTTCGCTACTACGTCCATAAGCCAAACTCTTTAGGGGTTTCTTTGAATGTTTTTACTGAGAAGTTTTGAAATAAAAGTTCAAATGAGTCATACTTTTATTCATTTTATACCTAAAAACAAGGCAAAATGTCTACTTTTTTTTCTCCCTGGCTACATTTTCTTAATAATGGAGTGATTAAAAAGAAATGTCCAAACTCTTCTATGTTAAAGCATTTGACTCTAATATGTCAACAAACACCATCCATCCATCCATCATCTATGCACCACTTAATCCTCATTAGGGTCATGGGGGGCTGGAGTCTATCCCAGCTGACTCAGGGTGAAGGCAGGGGACACCCTGGACAGGTCACCAGTCTATCACAGGGCTACACTTAGAGACAGACAACCAAGCACACTCACAGTCACACCTACGGACAATTTAGAATCACCAATTAACCTCAACATGTTTTTGGACCTTGTGGGAGGAAGCCGGAGAACCCAGAGAGAACCCACGCTGCACGGGGAGAACATGGAGACTCCACGCAGAAAGATTCTGGTGTCCCCACTGGGATGTGAACCGGCGACCAACTGCACCACCCTGCAGCCCGTCAACAAACACAACAAGAGTTTTAAAACTGACTTATTCAACATTCAGATTTGTTCTGGAAATATATAATCATCAAATCAAATCAAGTTTATTTATTTATTAAAGTCATTTTGCTGTACATACGACAGTAGTACAAACAAGATGAGAGAGCGTTTCTTCAGGATCCAAAAACTAAAAGCAATTAAATAAATTAGTGTTTGCATGTCTGGATGAGGAGTTCAGCATTCTGACAGCTTGTGGAATGAAGCTGTTGATCAGTCTGGAGGTTCATTCCTTCAGTGCTCTGGAAACATTTGCCTGATGGCAGCAGTTTGAACAGTTTATGGAGAGGGTGTGAGGAGTCCCTCACAGTGCTCAGAGCTAGCTGTCTGTCTGTCCACCCACAATGATGTTGGCTCCTCCGGCTGTCTGTCCGTCTGGGACGCTGTCATGGAGCCATGTTTCTGGAAAAGCAAACACATAACAGTCTTTCCACTCTCTGCGGGCTCTAATAAGCATATATGTAGATAGACAATATTTCATTAGCATCAAACATCACATTTCAGTTGTTTTAATCTAACCTGGGGAAGTTTTATAGCAAATATATCTAAACTGTTCCCATTTAATCCTATTTACCTGTCGTGTCACCTCTAAGTAAGTGATTCTGCAAAATAATATATACGCAAGTCTCTGGTGGCATTTTTGATACTTTCTTAAACGCTGTTAAGCTAGAACAAATCCACTGATCTCCGTATTTGTTTTAAGGAGGAAGATAATCATGCACACGAGGAAAGTCTGGTTGAAATGTTGTTTTTGCAGCACAAAGTGGCAGCAATGACATTCACACCACATCTGCTAAAAACAAACAAACCCTGATTTCAAACCACTTGCAGGATTACCGCCTGCACCTCTCGGCGGCTGTGCTTCTTGAGGTAAAGCATGTCATCCAATAAGAGCCGGGTTGGAGGTCGATCCCCAGCTCCATCAGCACACCTGAGCCTGTGCCATCGCTGCGTGACTCTGAGCTTCCGAAACAAAACGTACACGCTTCAGGGACACATTCTTCTTCAAGTAGTTCCTTCAAGGATGCCCTCTTTTCAAGGGGGGGTGTTTCTTACAGAGCACAAAAAAAAAAAAAAAAAAGCTTCAAATTGCCAAACGTTTCTGTCCTCTGGCTGCATTACTTCTGTCTGCAAAAACACCACATACCAAATGTCTTAAGATTTTAAGCAGTGAGTTCAGCTCAAAAAACATGTTGAGGTTAATTGGTGATTCTAAATTGTCCGTAGGTGTGAATGTGAGTGTGCTTGGTTGTCTGTCTCTAAGTGTAGTCCTGTGATAGACTGGTGACCTGTCCAGGGTGTCCCCTGTCTTCACCCTGAGTCAGCTGGGATAGACTCCAGCCCCCCCGCGACCCCCGTGAGGATTAAGCGGTGTCTAGATAATGGATGGAGTTGCAACATAGGAAAAGTCCTGCAAAGATGCTGCAGGGGAAGAGATGCCAGCACATCTCCCCCTACTGGTGTCAGAAGGTAACAACAGGAGCCTGTTTGGGTGCTCAGAAAGCTAATCCTACCTCAACGTTTACCTGTGACTGGAATAACCTCAACACTTGGTCGTATTTCTTACAGGCTGCATCAGATAACACACTGGTGACTGTAATATTGCATCAGCTATGAAAAAACGCTGCAAGAGCTGCAATCATTATTGGTTGAGCCAGATT